GAGAGGCGTGGAAAGAGGGCGCATTCGGGGAATTAGGGAATTGGATTTGAGATCGGCGACGACGTGCGCGCGCGTGGACGACCGCGTGGACGAAGGCGGGCGTCGAGCCGGTGGATCGTCGATTTTTTTGCGCCCTCGGGGCGGTTGGTGACGATCTGGGAAGGGGCGCGGGACGTCGGTCGGGATCGCGCGGCGCGCGGCGAGACGTCGGTCGGTCGCGCGCGCGGCGAGACGGGAGGACGACGCGCGTGTGGTGGTGATTTTCTTCACCGAGGGGGGGGCGTGGGCGCGTGGTGTGCGCGCGCGTCATGGCGCGCGAACGCGCGGGGGCGAACGCGTCCACGTCGGATGGTGGCGCGGAGGAGAGCGCGGAGGAGAGGCAACGCCGAGTGCGCGACGAGGACGCGCTCATCGCCCGGGCGAAGGCGATCAGGGAGAAGATCAAAGCGTTGGAGGCGCGAACGGTGAAAACACACGATGATTCTCGAAGGAAGAGTCACTGGGAGTACGTTTTAACGGAGATGACGTGGTTGGCTCGCGACTTTGCGAGCGAGCGGGATTGGAAGCAAGAGACGTCGAGGCAGGTGTCTCACCTCGCCGCGGCGTGCGAAGGCGCTCCCATGGATCGTGAGGAGGCGGAGAATGGTCGGAAAAAGGTACACTGCGCAAAGATCGCTTCCGAGGTCGCCGAGTTCTGGGCCGAGGCGTGGGAGCGGGCGAAGGAGCGTCCGCTGCCGAACGCCACCGAGCTCGTGGACGGCGAGGACGAGGACGAGGAACATACCTCGGAAGGCGGGGACGAGAACAAGAGCGAGGTCGACGATGACATGGAGGATGTCCAGAATGCGGACGGTGAGAACCCGGCGCAACGTCGTGCAACGCTCACCCCGGGTAGTGACCCGACCGAAGGATCGATGGAGCAGCTGGCAAACACACCGCCACCTCCGCCGGGCATGAAGGTCATCAACTCGTGGGCATCCAACAAGTTGTACTTAGCCATGGTTGAGATGAAGCGTGACTTGGTGCTCGATGCCATAGAGATCAAGGAGGCGAAGGATCAGAAGGAGGCGAAAAAGACGGCAAAGAAGACGGCGAAGAAGCAAAAGGTGATGAAATCGACTCGCGGGCGCGGGGCGAAGAAAAAGGACGAACCCGAGGAGGATCAGGAGGACGATGGGGAGAACGGGGACGATGGCGATGCGAAATCAGATCGCATCGCCTTGGCAGAGGCTCTGGAGATGGACGGTATGGATATGGACATGGATCTGCTCGCGCCGCCGACGCCTCCGCTCATTGATTCATTTATCCCAGTGATTTACGACGCCGTCCCAGCCTTGACAGAGCGCGTTTACAGAGAAACAATGCAAATAGAGGCTCAGAAGTTCGCTGAGTACGAGCGCAGTCTGCGCGGTTGGGAAGAAAACGAGCGAAAACGCGCTCGAGCGCTCGCCGAGGCTACGCGGCACCAAGCAGAGGAGGAAGCTTATCGTGCGACGATGGAGGAGCGCCGCGCCTTCTTGGCGGCCGCTGCCGCGCACGGCAATTACTTCGACGAGGAAGGGTACATGGTCGACATCAAGGGACGACGGAAGAAGAATAGACGTGGCGAATTTATTCAGTTCGGTGTCCCGGGACACGAGGTGGATATGGATTTTGGCGTTCCCATTCCAAAGCGCTCGACGATGCACATGGACGAGAGGCGCCGCGCGAGGGAGGCAAAGAAGAAGCGCCGCGCCGGCGCCATGCGTTCGTGGTCCCCCATGGAGGATCAACTCTTGTGCGCAATCGTGCACGAGTTTGGCTCCAACTGGGCTCTCATCACCGACGCCTTTGCCGCAGGCGCGCCGATCAAGGGCACGTATCATCGCATCGAACACTGCCGCTGGCGTTTCTCTCATCTCACGCAAGTTGCTGAGCAAGAGCAGAATAAGAACGCCATTGCGGCGCTTAATCTCAGTAAGAGTGGTGCTCGCATGCTCATCGCTCGCGCGCTTCCCGTCGAGGACGAGACGGTGCGCGTCCATTTTGATCGATCGTGCGCTGTCATGGCAAAGCACATGAAGATTCGCAAGGCGGCAAAAATAGAACGACTCGGGATGGACAAGTCTCGTCGGCACGCGCCGCACCGCTCCTGGCGTGACGTGCAAACGATATGTGGTCAGTTACTGAGTCCAGCCGAGTTGGCTGAGCAAACGTTCGGCGCGCCGCCTGTGGGCCCGAACGGCGGGCAACCCGGGCTCGGCGTACCGGGGGGTCAGCGTCTCGGGACGATATCGCCGATGACTCCCAGTCGCGGTGCGGTCCCGGGAATGGCTCCGGGATCTGGGCAGCGTGCACCGCTCGGTGGCGTTCCTGGATCGACGCTAGCACGGTCAACGTCCTTGCAGTTACAGCAGCTTGGCAGCTACTCCCCATCCTCGGGCGGAGGGACTTCGATGCAGATCGGTGGCATCGGTTCCTCGATGCCGACAAGCACGAGTAACGCGCTCGCTCCGGGGTCGTACAACCTCTCCGGAAGCAAATCTTCACCTGTCAAGAAGACGACGACGATGAAGCGCAAGGGATCCAAAAAATCATCATCAGGAAGGAAACAGTACCGTTAGTAGTCGCAAATCGAAATGTTATTGCATCGTAGGCCAAACCAACACGGCTCACGCGCTTTGCCCCGAACTCGAATCTCACGCGCGATCGTCTCTTCAGCGGGAAAGGCAGTTTGTCACATATGATCATTCGTTCATTCATTCATCACATCTTACGCCTTTTTGAGCGTCGGCATGAGTGGTTCTAGATCGAGTTCAAGAATCGAAGTCGGACTGACGATATCAAACTTGGCGCACACATCCGGGTGCACGATGCCAAAGACACCGATCCTCTTGCCCTCGCGCATAATGTACGCCTGTCTGCCCGGAAAGTATGTCGGCTCGCTCGACGCCTCGAGTTGATAGCCAAAGTCCGACCCGTCGAACTTCGCGATTCCGACGACTTGCATCACTCGGTCAAGCACGCCCTGGACAACCTCGAAACCGCTGTGAACATTGCTATAGAGAACCAGCAGTCGCCGAGAGTTGCGCGCCCCGACGTCGGCGGTGGGATCTAAAACGACGACATCACCAACCTCGAACAACTTCGCCGGAAGCGGCGCGTCCTTGTTGGCGCCCAAAGCCTTCAGCGCGCCTGGAAGGAGGCTGCTTCGAGCTACCTGTACGTCTAAGCTGGACGGGTTGGCAACGATCGCCGCGCTATTGCCGTTGTCCTCCCTGAGCACATTTGCAAAGTTGTCATCGTGCGAGCACAGAATCCACGTCAGCAATTCGCTAAACCCACTGCGAGCGACCTCGTCTCGAACGGCGTCTGAAAACTTGTTGATGGGTTGCGCGGACGCAATGGTGTACGCCTTTGGTACAGTGCGCGCAATGTTGTTGTACCCATGCGCGATGGCGACGTCTTCAGCGATGTCACATGGGTGCAAAATATCCGAGCGCGTCGGCGGTACTTCGACTCGAAGCGTCTTTTCATCCGCCCCGAGCTTTGTCTGGAGTTGCATTTTGCACAACAGCGCCGCCATGGTCTTGCGATCGATCGACGTCCCAATGCGCTTGTTGATGTAATCGACGTCCGCGTCGACAAAACGCGTCATAAAATCTGGATACGTCGTCTCCTTACCCGTGCAATCTACCACTTCCACCGGCTCGACGCAGAAGGGTTCCGCGCAGTACTCGCTGAACATGGTCACCATGGTGTTCAAAACGATCTTTGCCTTGTTCAGATCCGTCGCCGTGCACTCGATGAACACGTCCGTGGTGTCCAGCGTGATGGCTGACTTCGCGCCGTTGATGATGGGCGGCAGCGACAGCACCGTGCCCTCGCTATCCCGAACGACCGGGAACACCACGCTGTCTTCGATGATGTGCAAAAAGTGCTTCAACTTTTGATCCCCCTTATAAAACTCCATCAACTCTCGCGCGTTGAACGACCGATCCTGCTTCAGCGGCGTGAACTCAATCTCCTCCGGAATCTGCGCCTCGTACGTGAACGGTCCCTTAATCTTCCCCAAATCATGCGTCCCGATGGCCACCAGGCTCCGCCTTCGACAAATATTCTGATGCAACTTATCCTGCAAATCGATGAATGACTCGTACCGCTCCTTCGTAAACGTCACCCCACGCAAAACGGCACACACCACGAACGGTCGCACCAACATCGCGCTCGATTTCACCCGCATCACCTCCCGCGTCCCGCTCGCAGGTTCTCTCAGGCGAAACGTCGGCGTCGGCGTCGTCCCTCTGAACACGTTCAGCGCCCGCGCGATCCCCTCCATGCACAGTAAATCGTATCGATTCGCCGGGATATCAATCTTATAGATGATATCGTCGCTCGCCGTCTCGCTTTTCTCCGACTTGTGCGTCGTACCATCCGTGGTGTCCTGACCCAGGAATTTACTCTGCATGGCGCTCTCCGTCGTCACCTCGTCGAGCTCGATGCCGAACTCGAAGCACAGCTCGTCGAACTCGCTCTCGGTGAACGTTTTACCGAGCTTGGTGAAGAGTCCATCGCGGTTGAGGTTCACCGTGGGCATCTCGCGCGGGCGTGAGAGGCGAAGACTGAGGTTTGGTGGATGATCATCGCAGGTTGGGGTTTTTCGCGTCGGGACGCGCGCGGCGGATGGAACAAAAACAAACTAGCGATACATTTACAGCTGAGGCGTGAGAGATGACGGCGCTAACCCGCGGCGTTACTTGGGGCTGGCTCCGCGCGCGCGGCTTTACCGGTGGCAGAGGAATCGGGTGTGGGTTGGGATTGCTCGCTCGGGCGCTCGGCGGGCGCGCCGAAGAGGGAGCCGCCGAAGAGCGGCACGGCGGAGAAGGCAGCGGAGAATCTCGTCGCGAGCTGCGCCGGTGATGGCACGTGTGGGAGCTCGCTCGGGAATATGGACGGCTTGGACGGCGGTGACTGGGTTTCGGGCTCAGTTTGCGGATCGGATGGGACTTGCTCTTCGGCGGTTTTCTCCTCACGGAATTGCGTTCGCCACTGCTCGAGCTTGATCCGGGCTTGAGATTTTGGTCTCGGCAACACGCCCAGGCGCGTGAGCTCACCGATCGCAGCCTCGTCGCCGCTTTCGACGACCAATTCGAGGAGACGCTGTACGGCTCGCGAGACGTTTTCGTCATCCTTGTACTTCATGAACGCGCTCGAGTCGGCTCGGATTTCGGCGTACACATCCTTGAGCTCCTTGGACAGGATCAAGTCAGTGGGCATCTTCAGCATGAGATTCGATTCGGTTATGACGCGATCAACCTCTTCGTTTTCCAACGCCGACAAGATGCGCTCGACTGGAAGCGAACGGACGTCGAACGCCGCGGTGGGGCGCTCACCGTTGGATGTCAGAGCAGAAAACGCCGAGACGACGGAGGACGCTCCCGTGGTCACTGCGTCGTTCAGCGAGCTCGTCGTTCGATCGAAAAACGCGCCAACGGTCTCAAAGCTCGACTTAGCATTTTCTTGCGCGAGTTCAAGGGATCGATTGGTCTCTTTACGCACCGTATCGGTGGTTCGGGTCGCCCACATCGACATGGCTTTGGCGTTTTCTTGCGCCCGCTCAAACCCGCGATTGGTCTCCTGACGCACTGACTCAGTAGTTCGAGCCGCCCACGTGGTAACGACCTCAGCACTTGACGACACTTTGCTCGCAGTAGTCGTCGTGAGCACGGCTGTCTTCTCACTGATTATTTTCGGTGCGCTCAACAACTGTTCCACCATAGTGGGAAGAGGCGTCGGGGTGAGCTCGCATCGCACGACATCGCCGTCTTCGACGCGAAGCGTGACGCGAATGAACCCGTCCTTCGTCGTCAGCGCGGCAACGGCCGCAGCCGCTTCCTCCGCTTGCTTCCTCTTCATCTTCTCTTCGTGCTCTTCAACCATGGGTAAGAACAAGTCGATGCTCGATCTGGCGATGTACGTCGTGAACGAGGCGTTGATCGCCTGCGTCACGTCTGCGGCCACGGCGACGTAGAACTTCGATCCGAAGACAAGCGAGGTGAGATCTTTCGTCGCCTGACGCGTGAACTCCGTGCGAAAGACATCTCGAGCCAGCGACTCGGCATCGTCGTAAGACATCTTTTTCATCATGAGAGCATCCGATTTGGCGTCGCACGCAGCCTTCATCGCTCGCCGACGCGTTCGCCGAGCCGTTCTGTTGCCAGAGTTTAAGAAATCCACGAGCATCTTTGACGCACGCTCTTTCAAATCGTTACTCTCGGCTATGGCGCGATCGAGCCCGTCTTGCATCAGGGAAGAAATGGATCCAAGTGTGGTCCACGCATCGTCCTGATTCGGCACCGTCTCGGCGTTCGTGTCCACGGCGTCACCGTCGATGTCAATCTTCGGCGCGTCGTCAGGCGCCACATCCACGGCGATTCCGTCAATCTCGTCTTCGCTTGAGATCTCGCCATCGCTCTCTGTGAAACGAATCACGGGATGCATGTCCAAGTGTTCCTTGTCGACGCCCGCGGCGAGTCCGATGGCCACCGTCACCACCTCCGGATCGAGCGGCGAGTGGCCGGATAGACACGCGCAGAACAGACAAATCCTGAACCGATTCGTGAAGTGTGCGGCGTGTGCACCCATCGGTCCTGGGGTGAACCACGCGCACACGAGCGCAGACGCGTATTGCGCCAGCGAATGCGAGTACACCGCGTTCATGAGCGGCGCGCGCTCGGGTTCGGGATGCTTGAGAAAGTGTTTCCGAGCCATCTCCGGCGCTCCCGGGACCCCCAGGCGCGGCGCACCCTCGATGGCGGTTTTCAGATACGTGTGAATCGCCGTCATGGACGCGATTTCGTGCGCGCGCGCGAGAACCGCCTTGTTTTCTGGCGTCTCCTCCGTCGTCTCCTCCGCGCGAGCGCGCTCCTCGGCGACGGACGCGTCGTCCATTCGAAGGAACATGCCCCAAAACTGCGCCTGTCGTCGCATCTTTTCAAATTTTTCATCGCGCAACTTTTTCGCCCTCTCATTTCGCCATCTTTGGCGCCAATCGGCGATTCGCTCGCGGAAGAGTTTCTCGGGCGAGGACGAAGCGCTCGAGCGCCATCCGCTCGAGTCCGTATCGGCGTCGCCCGACCGCGGACCATCCACCGCGCACGACTCGACGCAGAACACGTTCTCAACGCACACACCCGTGAGCGTGACGAACGCGTCGCGAATCTTCGTCCCTCGCATCGCGTCGACGTCCCCGACGCGTTCGCAGACGACGAACACCTCGCTCGCGCCGAGCCGCCCGACGCACGTCGCGATCTCATCAATCATCTCCATCGCCGCCGTCCCCGCGAGCGTTCGCTCCGCCGCCGCGTGCGACGCGGATTTCCCATCCCCATCGCGCGGAATCGCCGGCCACTGCGTCGAACGCGTCTGCGTCGCGTCCTTCGTCTCCGTCGCCGTCGCCGTCGCCGTCTCCGTCGCCGTCGCCGTCTCCGTCTCCCCGCGCCTCCCTCGCCCACCCACCTCCGCCGACGTCACGAACACCAACCCATCGCACGACATCCACAATCGCGTCCCCGTGCGCGCGCACCGCGTCGTCGCGTCCTCGTAGACGACGTCCGCGCCGATTCGCGACGCGTCCGCCGCGTCCGCCGCCGCGTCCGCGTTCGCATCCCAGCGCTCCAACCATCCACCGCGCCCGCCCGCCTTCCACCCATCGCGCGCGCGTCCATCGTCGTCGTCGTCCCCACCCGCGCGCGCGACGCCCAGCGCCGGCGTCGCGTCGCACGCGTCGATCACATCCGTCATCGCCCGCAACACCTTTCGCGTCGCGTCGCACATCGGCGCGCACGCCGTCGTCACCGCGCGCGCGCGCTCGACGTCCGCGCGCGCGGCGTCGAGGTCATCGCCCCCGCGCGCGCGCGCGTCCATGCGCGCCCGCGGTGACGACGGGGCGTCCCGTCGTCACCGGTCGACGATGTGTCGTCCGTCGCCGTGTCCTCGACCGGTGACGCGCGAAAGGGACACGACGCGATCGACCGGTACGTCGCCTTTCGAGTATAACACTTCCAAAGGCGTCACCGGTCGACGATGTGTCGTCCGTCGCCGTGTCCTCGACCGGTGACGCGCGAAAGGGACACGACGCGATCGACCGGTACGTCGCCTTTCGAGTATAAAATTTCCAAAGGCGTCACCGACGGACGCACGCGATGGCGTCGAATGGCGACGCGCGCGCGCGCGCGCGACGCCGTCGTCGTCGCGATCGCGCTCGGACGCGCGACGGATGCCGAGGCGATGACGCGCGCGCGCGCGATGCTCGACGCCGACGTCGCGGACGCGCGCGTGGACGTCCTTCGCGTCGGCGACGATGGACGAATGACGACGAACGCGTGGCGACGGACGCGGGACGTCGCGGTGAAAGCGGCGGCGCGCGCGGCGTTCGTGCTCGTCGTGTGCGTCGACGGTGCGGGGACGGAGACGACGCGGGCGGTGCAAATGTTCCTGGCGATGACGCGTCGAGACGGTGGGCGTCGGACCGGGATCGACGTGTCGGGAACGTGGACGCCGCCGCGACGGATTGATTGTTTGCGCGCGAATTTGTGCTTCAACGCCGTCGCGGCGCGACTTCCGGCGCGGCGGTTGTATCCGAAAGGGGTGGGTGAGGACGCGGCGGCGGAGACGTGGCGGGAATTTCACGCGCGGGCGCTCGAGCGCGCGACGTCGACGGTGGAGCGCTTGGACGACGGCGGCGTGCGAGCCGTCGCGGAGGCGGAGGCGACGTCGTTTGGTGGTGAAGATCCCATTCAGCGATTGGCGCTGACGATGTCGGCGCGCGAATTTGTGCTTCAACGCCGTCGCGGCGCGACTTCCGGCGCGGCGGTTGTATCCGAAAGGGGTGGGTGAGGACGCGGCGGCGGAGACGTGGCGGGAATTTCACGCGCGGGCGCTCGAGCGCGCGACGTCGACGGTGGAGCGCTTGGACGACGGCGGCGTGCGAGCCGTCGCGGAGGCGGAGGCGACGTCGTTTGGTGGTGAAGATCCCATTCAGCGATTGGCGCTGACGATGTCGGAGCAGTTGGAGGACGCGAGCGCGCGCGTGCGCGCGTTCGTCGCCGAGCGTTCGCGGGAAACGACGGCGACGTTGCGCGACGGCGAGCTCGCTCGATTGGTCGAATCGTCGCCCGAACGATGGGTCGACGGAGGATACGCCGCGCATCACTACGTCGGTGCCCCGCCCGGTGCGCACGGCGTGTATTACGAACTCGAGCTCAGAGACGGCGAACGCGTGGGGTACATCGCGCTGAGCGCGATGCAGAGCGATGAGGCGGCGACCGCGGCGTACCCGTTCGCGTCGCTCGACTCTATCTTCACCACCGCGCAAGTCGATCGGCTGTGCGTCTTGCCGGACCACAGGGGGCGCGGTGTGAAGGAGATTTTACTTCGCGACGTGTGCGATGGATTTCACCGCGCGCTCGGCCTAGCGGTGCGCGTGAAGACAGCCAAGGAGTCGGTGGTGAAGAGCTTTCAATCGTGCGAGTTACTCGCGTTCGAGCGCGTGAAGGATCCGTCGGCGAACGGCGTGGCCAAGCGACGGGGCGCGAAAAATGTCGTCGTACTTCCAATACTCGATCAAAAACCGCGCGCGGAGCGATGGACCGAAGATCCGGATGACGCGCGGGATTACTCGGACTGGCGCGGCGCCGCCAAAGACGATGGACGCTCGTCGGCGGACGCCGCCACTCAAAGCAAACGACGAGATGAGAGCCCTCTCGCCGCGTTCACATCCGCTATAAATCGCGTGACGCCCGATAACGTGCAGTGCATGACGTCGCGGGTACGCGCGGCTTTGGTGGACGCGAACGCGCTCGATGACTTTGCCGAGCGATTGGTAGAAGCGGCGTCTCGTGGACGAGCTCGATACGCTACGACTTTCGCTCACCTTTGCGTGGAGATGCCGGATGATTTTCAGCGAGTCGTTAGTGACCGCGCGATCGCCGAGCTCGCTCGAGCGTCCGAGGAGGACGCGCGAGACATTGCCGAATTCGTCGTCGAGTTATGGACGCGCGGAATCGTCTCCGAAGGTCAACTCTGCGAAGCAATTTTCGACGGTTCGAGACCCGGTGAGGACGTCGTGCGGACCGAGATTGCTTTTCGGACGTTGATGCGAGTCAGCAATGCGTCGCTGGGACGTCTGCAATCCGCGCGCGCGTACGTAGACGCGTGTGCGCCGGACGGTCGCGAGGCGTTGAAGAACATGGGCGCGCCGACGCGCTTGGTGTTTCTAGCCGAAGAGACGCACGCGTCCTTGTCGAGTTGCGCGGACGCGAGCGCGCGACGAAAACTTTTTGGCGACCGTCATCGAGCGACCACGCGCGCCGAGGCGCACGAATCTGCGAAAGACGACGTGAAGAAGCTCTCGATAGCTCTGGTGGACGAGCCCGCGGCGGCGCTTCGCGGCAAACGCAAGGGTTGGGTCTTTTGGTACGTCGGCTCCCCCGTTCGCGCTCACGACGGCGCGGAGTACGCGTTCGTTCCCGGAGATCCCACGCGTCGCTTCGTTCGCGTGGAATGATCGCGATCGTTCGTCTCGAATAGTTGTATGAATACGTTTAGGTACCGTAGATGAAAAAACTGAGCGCCTAACGCGTCACCCACCCGCAATCGTGAACATCATCACCGTCGATTGTCTGCAGCTCACCACGCGCACGGGCTTACCCTGGGCCTGATCTAACAGCGCTCGCGCCTCGCGTCCCGTCGGCGGACGATCGGAGCACACGTACACATAAAAGCTCACCGGATCGGGTGACTTTTTGCTAAAATGTCTATTCGGTTGGTACACCTGAAACGTCAACCGCGCCTCCACCGGTGATTCGTCGTACTCCAACGCGTGCGATTCCGTTCGAGCGCGCGCCGCGGCGTCAATCTCCGGGCCGATCCAATCGTGCGCGTCGTCTCCGGCGGCGAGCCACCAGCGTCGACTCGGTAAATCGCGCTGTTTCTTTCGCGTTTCCTCGACGCGCCGCCGCTTCACCGGCGGCTCCGCGATCGGCTCAACCTCAACCTCCCCCGTTTTCACCCCGTCACCGTTTTCCCCATCCCCCCACCTTCCTATTCCGCCCGTCTCCTTGGCCCAATCGTCCGAAGATCTCGCGTCCACCGTCCACGCGCTCCCGAACCGTCGACATCCGTATCCCAACCGGCGTAGGTGCGCGTACGCCAAGTACTCCTCCCACCCCACCCCCGTTCGCGCCATCAGCGCGTACACCGCCCGTACGCTCGCGCATTCCTCCTCTCGTTCATCAAAGAACAACGCCAGGCGTTCCGTCTCGCATAAAAACGCACACTCCTCCGCGAATAACCACGTCGCGTTCCCGCGCGCCGTCCCGACGCGTTGCAATTGCCGTCCCCTCGATCGAATCACCTCCGCCATCGACCGCTCCCGCCGCCAGATCGCGACCGAGACGTTACTCTCGTGGCTCCCGCGTCGCGTCGTCCACGCGCGGAGCGCGGCGTCGAGGCGAACGTCTCGCTGTTCCCGTCGCCGTTCACCCGCGTCCGACGCATTCTCTCCTCTCGGCGCGTGCGTCGCCTTGACGCCGCGTTTGAACACGCTCGCCATGTCGAGACGACCGCGGTGGGGCCACGGACGCGCGCGCGGCGTCGACGCGCGCGGTCGCGCGCGCGGCGATGCGGCGATGCGTCGTCGTCCCGTCCCGCGTGGGTGTCGTACATCGTTCGTGTGAAGGCCATGTGCGCGTGCATGGGACGCCTCGCGTGGGTAGGGTTTAAGTAGGGTTTGAGTAGGGTTTAGGTAGGGTTTGAGTAGGGTTGAGAACCATATCGCGATCGACGATCGCGCGACGTCTCGACGCGCGCGCGACGCCGCGGCGCACCCGCGCGCGCGCGCGATGCGTCGCTCGGAATCCCTCGGTTCGATTCACGTCGAAAACGCGATGAGCAGCGTGAAGAGCCTGCAGAAACGAGGGCTGGACCTCCCGAACACCGGTCGATGGTTCCGACGGAAACATCGCACGATGATGTGCTGTGGAATCCTGTGCGTCGTGCTCGTCGCGCTGTGGGTGATACGATGGCGAAACGGGGCGGCGCGACGGGAGATGGATGAGCTCGGTCGGGAACTGGCGCGAGAGGCGAAGAAAGCGGTGGGACGGGGACGGGCGTAGACGGGCGGGCGGACGGAACGGAACGGAACGGCGCGGCGCGGGCGCGAACGGCGCGAGCGATGGCGAGGCGCGCGGGAGGGTGTGATGTTGTGATGTGATGTGAGAGAGTAGTAGTTGTCATCGATGCGCGCGAGCGATTTTTTTTTTGGTGAAGCGAGTGTGATGATGCGCGCGCGCGCGCGGGAACGTTTCGGTGATTTTTGGCGCGAGAGACGACGGAGGACGCGCGTCGGCGCGATTTTAAACGCGTGGCGTCGTTCGCGCTCAGCGCGAGACGTCGTCGTTTCCATCGGGACTCTGGGTGGCGTCGTCGGAGACGATCGTGTCGTCGTGTCGCGATTGTTCTTGGACGTCCATGGCGGCGGGCGGCGTCTCCGGCGCGGCGGACGGTTGGCTCGCGCTCACATTTTTTCGGTCGCCGGATTCATCGCCAGCGTCTCTCGGAGGCGTCTGCGGTTGTTCGTAATACGTCGTTCCGTCGTCGCGCGGCGTTCCGACGTTCAAGGCGTAGGCGGGCATCAACGGCGGCGGCGCGCCGTAGTACATTTGCGCCGCGTACGGATTCCACGCGTACGGATTCTGCATCATCGACGACGGATCCTGCGGCGCGTACGCCGACGGGGGATTGTATAGACCCGTATACGGCTGGCTGAAGAAGGGTGGGTAAAACGTGCCGGGCATGGGCTGATACTCCATCGCGTGCGCGGGCGGGACGTACGCGCCGTGGTGGTACCCGCCGCGCTCGCGCGACGCGCGGTCGACGCTTCGTCCGCGCTCGGATTCCGGTCCGGTGGGCGTCAAAGGTGAAGGCGCGATCACGCCGGGCGCCGCTTGTATCGGCACTCTACCGACGCACATGTCGTTTATCATCCGCGCCGCGTGGCGACAACACTCCACGGGGCCTCGTAAGAACACCGTACGCGCCGGCGCCCCCTCCGGCGTCTCCGCGTCCGTCTGAATCTGAATCCTCGCCCGCGTGCGCTGCTGAATGTACTTGACGTTATCGCCACCTCGTCCGATGATCATCCCGACCTTGGTGTGCGGAATCGTCATCGTCGCCGTCGCCGGTCCGAGCCGAGCCACCGTCGACGATGGCGCCATCGCTCGAAGCGCGCCGCCGCCGCCGACAAACTCGGCGTTGCGCTCGTTGTACTGCGTCTCTTCGTCCAGCGCCAAATCGGCGCGCGCCGCGACGTCCGCCGCAGTCGCCACCGCCGCTCGCGCCGCGTCCGCGACGTCTAATCCTTCGAACAGCGCCCCTATCGCTCCCTCCGTTCCTTCGTGTGCGCGATCGTCGCTCGTGTCGATCAACCGATGTATCATCGCCACCGCCTCACGACATCGTTCCGGCGGTCCCTCGATCTCCACCCGTCGCTTCGCGCCGTCCCACGAATCCCTCGCGATCGATATCCGCGTCCCCGTTCGATTCTGCACGAATCCAACGTGTCGTCCCTCTCGTCCGATCACCAATCCTACCTTTCCATTCGGGATGTGTAACACCTCGGCGTACGGCGGCGACCCGTCAAACATCTCCGCGCTCAAATCAATCGTCCCGTCCCGGCCGCCGCGTCCCGCGCCGCCGTCGTCCACCGCGCGCGCACCACTCGCCATCGTCGACGCATGCACCGCCTCACGCGCGTCTCCGTCCTCGTTCACCACCGTCCCGAGCGCTCGTCGCGCGCGTTGGACCGCCAGTCGCCCGACGCCGTCGCGCGTCTCTGGCGGCGGCGGCGCCGGCGGTCGCGGCGCCTCCCGCGCGCGCTCTGAAGATGCCACCGGTGCCGCCCGGCGCATGCGCGGTGACGGACGAGGTGTGGAAATACACCCCACGCGTGATCACGCGCGCGCGGACGACGTCGACGTCCACGAACGTGGCCCCGGACGCGCGCGGTGACGCCGCGGAGGCGGACGCGACGCGGCGCGGAAGACGAAGCGGCGCGACGCGCGCGCGGGCGCTGAAAAGTCAGACGACGTGCGACCGCGCGAACGACGACGATGGGAGAGATGATCGTCGAGGGCGATGATGGAACGGGCGACGCGCGCGCGTGTGGGGGCGGGCGATGCCGCGCGATGGGCGTCTCGGACGTTGGGGCGGTCCCATGTGGAACGGGCGCGACGTCGGATGCGGGGGGCGACGACGGAACGGGCGATGGGTGTGATATTAATGCGTGAAGTAGTGTCGCTGGTGGACGTGCGCGGCGTTGGCGTGTAGAATGGCGTCGGCGATCTCGTTGAAATCGCGCGAGCGGCGGTCGACGCCGTCGATGGGGCGGGAGGACCATAAGACGCTCGCGCCGAATCCAGCCGCCGCGGCGCCCTGGTAATCATTTTGGACGCCGTCGCCGACGTGTAGGACGGTTGACCGATCGACGCCGAGCTCGGAGACGAGAACGTTAAAGAACTCTGTGCTCGGTTTCTCTTTCTCGATGTTCGCGGAGACGACCAATGCGTCGAACTCGTCGTGAACGCCGAGAGATTTGAGCAAATCGGGCAATCGAGCGTCCCAATTGCTCGCCACGGCGACGCGGACGCCCGAGCGGCGTAAACGTCTGATGGCGTCCACGGCGCCGTGCGCGATGTACCAGGATGACGGACGCTCGTAATATTCGTACAGATGGTCGAGCATGCGCTCGACCGTGCTCGCGTCGATTTTACGCGTCAGCGCGCTCGTGAGCACGTGATTGACGACTTTTCTCCAGAAGGATTTCCCATCTCCGTAATACCGCAGCGCCTCGCAATCGCAGCAATCCTTTCCGCGATAGAGCGCGAACGCTTGCTTGAAGTGCGTCGACGCGCTCTCGCTCGTGACGTGATCGCACCCGAGCGCGCTCGCGATTCTGGCGTATACATCGCCCACGCGCTCGGCGGGTTCAATGAGACATCCGCCGACGTCCACGGTGACCGCGCGCCAGCCTCCCGGTGGCGTTGTCAAACCCTCTAGCACGCCTCGCTTCACCGACGGATCGACGACGTCGTACGGGTACTCACCCAGAGGCTTGATCACGTCTCGAATGATGGCTGTCATCTCGCAGTGCAACCCCACGTCCGAGCTCGCGACCATGCCACTTAGGTTCGGGACGGCGTCCAGATTGTACGTGTAATCGTACCGTCTTCCCACCGTGTCGGTGACTATCCCCCCGGTCGCTCGGAGCAGAGCCTCCCCGGCGCACGTGTCCCACTTCTTCGACGCCTTGCGCAGTAACAGCGCCGAGTGCGCGCGTCGTTCCAGAAGCGTCAAATAATGATACCCCGTGGCGCTGATCAGGACGTCCACGCGCGATTTCAAAGCCTCGAGCACCGGCGCCTGACGATTCTCCCGAATGTTCCGATTCACCGCCACCACGTGCTCGCCGCGCGGCGGCGGCGGCGGCGCCTCGTATCCATCCGCGACGTCCAACCCGCGCACGCCCATCCCCGCCCCCCCCCACACCACCCGCCCGAGCGTCTCCCCATCCCCTTCACGCGCGTAAAACGGTTGCCCGATCACCCCCGCCACGGGAACCCCATCCACGGCCACACCGAACAGCACCGTGATCGCCCGCCGCTCGCCCGCCGCGTACTCATTCGTCCCGTCCAACGGATCGTGATACACCGCCACCCGCGACGCCTCCACCCCCCTCCGGAGCTCCCTCGCCCATCCATTCCGTTCGTCCTCACTCGCTCGCCGCATCGTCGCCGTCAGTTCCAACGCCGCCGACGCATCCGTCTCGCACGCGCGCTCGAAACTCTCCTCCGCCACCACGCGCGCGTTCGGGTGATACTTCATCATCGTCGCCACCGCCATCGCCTCCACCCGTCTATCCGCCTCCGTCTGCGCGTCCGCGACGTAGGCACCCGACGCGGTGACGTCACCGCCCTTATCACGCGTGCGCAGGTCTCCACGCGCGGTGACGTCGCGGATGATGTCGCAGCCCGCGGTTGCGATCGCGCGAAGTGTCACCACGAGATCGGGGACATCGATCACCGACGCGCGCGTGGCGACGCGTCGACGGCGCGCGCGCGCGCTCGGGGGTCGATGCGTCGTCGACGACGCGCGACGCGCGAGCGCTCGCATCGCCGTGCCCGTCGAGGCCTCGCGCGCGGGTCGCGCGGATGTCGAAGGCTTTCCTTCGACGTTTTAGGGTATAGGGTTTAGAGGGCGTTCCCCTAAACCCTAGTTCACGCGCGCCATCGCGCCACAGCGTCCCCGAATCGACGCCGTCGCGTCGTCCACGGGCGACGCGACGCTCGACCGCGCGCGCGCGAGAGCGACGCGCTCGAGCTCCGGCGACGCGCTCGAGCGCTGACCACGGGCGTGGCGATGCGTGGGACGCTGGACGCGATGCGACGAACCATCGCGCATCGATCGGTCGCGTCGACGCGCGGTGGCCTCGTTCGGCGCGCGCGCGCGGTCGACGCGCGCGAGGCGCGGACTCGGAGGACCCGCGCGTGGTCCTGGGCGTGGGACCGAACGCGTCGAAGGAGGAGCTGAAGCGGGCGTATCGACGCGAGGCGCTGCGATGGCACCCGGACCGGGCGGCGGAGAGCGAAAAGGCGACGCACGAGGCGCGGTTTAAGAAGATAAGCGCGGCGTACGCGCGATTGAGCGCGCCGGGAGGGATGGCGTCGAACGCGGGGTACGGGGGAGGGGGTGGGGGAGGGACGGCGGCGGAGGATTTCGCTCGACGGGCGCGCGCGGCGAGCGCGCGCGGCGGCGAATCGGGCGCGGGGACGGGGTATCGGTACGAGTATCGACGCGATTTCTCGCGTGAGGACGCCGAGCGGGTGTTTAGGGAAATATTTGGGAGCGATAGCTCGAGTTTCTTGCGAGAGGTGGAGCGGGCGATGCGAGAGGCGGCGACGCGCGGCGGCGGATTTCCGCCTCGCGGGTTCGGAGCGAGCGGCTTTGGACCGGGTGGGTTCGCGTTTCGGGGCCAGATGAGCGCGTACGATTTGAACGATTTGTTCAAGACTATTTTTAGCGAACAGGCGTTCGGGGAGCGCCGGGGTGGGGGCGAGGTGAGCGAGACGTCGTACGTGAACGCGCGTGGAGAGACGGTGATTCGGCGCGTGACGCGCTTCCGAGGCCCCAACGGCGTCGTCTCCGAGTCCGTCACCGAGCGCGTCGTCGGTCGCGGGAGCGCTGGTTCTACACCAGGATTCGATCCGTTTCGCTACGAGCGCGCATCGAGCGCGCGTTCGCCTCCACCGCCCGGTTCCGTCGTCGGCGTCAATCCGCTCGTCGAGCTCGCCGTGGGCGCGGCGCGAGTCCTCCGAGTCGCCTTCGTTCGCTTCATCGCCACCTTCGGCGCGCGATTACTTCAAACCGCCATACGATTCCTTCTCCGTCGTCTCTTCGGCGGCGGTCGATTTTAGCTTAGCGCATTCTTTGTAAACCGCCCGCGTCGCCGCGCCCGCCCGCCCGCGCCGCACTTCGACGCGCCACCGCGTCGTCACCCGCGCCGCGGCGCATGCGAAGCGCGCGACCGTCGCGCGCGTTCGTCCGGCACCCAGAACCCGTCGCGCCCGCGTCGTCGCGCCCGCGTCGGCGTCGCACGCGCGTCGTCACCGCGCGCGCGATGAAATCATCATCATCGCCCGATGCAATCGTCATCAAAGACCTCGTGCTCATCGGCGGTGGACACGCGCACGTGTACGTGCTCAAGGCGCTGGCGATGCGACCGATGGCGGGGGTGCGCGTGACGCTCATCGCGAAGGATTTGCACACGCCGTACAGCGGCATGCTCCCGGGCCTCGTCGCGGGACACTACGAGCGAGACGAGACGCACGTCGATCTGCAACCGATCTGTCGAGCGGGAAAATTTCGAGTGATACACGATGAGGCGATCGGGATCGATCACGAGGAGAAGCGGGTGGTGCTGCGGAGCGGACGACCGGGGGCGCGGTTCGACGTCCTGAGCGTGGACGTGGGAATAACGCCGAGCGCGGACGTGCGAGGGGCGAACGAGCACGCGACGGCGGTGAAACCGGTGAGTGGATTTAACGCGCGGTGGGAAGCGATGCTGAGGCGGGTGATCGAGGGTGGGAAGCACTGCGAGGTGGTGGTGGTCGGCGGCGGCGCGGGCGGCGCCGAGCTCGCGCTCTCGATGCGACACCGCATGCGAGAGGAGTGTAAGCGACGAGGGATGAACGAAGATTTAGCGTCGTTCACGCTCGTAACGCGAGGAAAGTTGATGCCGTCGCACGCGCCGAGGGTGAGGAATACGTTTTTGCAGGTGTTCGATGACGCGGGCGTAAAAGTGATTGAGGACGACGGCGTGGTAGAGGCTGGAGAGGGCTTTGTGACGCTTCAGAGCGGTCGAAAGATTGAGGCTAATGAGGTGATATGGTGCACGCAAGCGGGCGCGGCGAAGTGGTTGAAAGATTCCACGGATTTAGCGCTCGATGAGAACGGTTTCATCACGGTGAACGCCACGCTCGAGTCCACTTCGCACAAGGACATCTTTGCCGCCGGTGACGTGGCCAATGTTCTGAAGCATCCGCGACCGAAAGCTGGGGTTTTTGCCGTCCGTCAAGGTCCGCCACTCGATAAGAACCTACGACGGGCACTCTTGGGGGAATCTCTCGTCGATTTCACTCCGCAAAAGCTATTTCTCGGATTATTAACCACCGGCGGTAAGCACGCCGTGCTGTCGTACGGTAACGTCGCCATGGGTGGAGTCGGTCCGATAGGCGAGCGTTTGTGGAGATGGAAGGATAAGATCGATCGGAAGTGGATGAAGATGTACCAGGAGATGGAGGAGATGGCTGAGGCAGAGGTGGAGTCGTCCGCCTTGGCGCTCTCCGCTGGGGCAGAGACCATGGCGGCGATTCGTGCTGTGCCGATGCGATGCGGTGGGTGCGGCGCAAAGGTCGGTGCGACGGTTTTATCTCGAGTGATGAAACGTCTGGAGCCGATTCCCACGAATCCCAACGTCGAGGTTGGCATCGATCAACCGGACGACGCCGCTGTTGTCGCCGTGCCAGAGGGCATGGTCGGCGTGCAAACGGTGGATTACTTCCGAGCCTTCGTCGATGATCCCTATATTTTCGGTCAAATTGCCGCTGTGCACGCCCTTGGAGACTGCTGGGCCATGGGCGCGGATCCGCACGCCGCGCTCGCCATCGCAACAGTTCCGTATGGATTGGAGGCGCAAGTGGAGGAGACGCTGTATCAAATCATGGCGGGCGCCTGCAGTATCCTGCGCGACGCCGGTTGCGCCTTGGCCGGTGGCCACAGCTCGGAAGGCGCTGAACTCTCGCTCGGATTCTCCGTGCACGGCGCCGCGCCGCGTGAAAAGCTCATGAAGAAGGGCGGGATGAAGCCCGGGCACAAAATCATAGTCACCAAGCCCATTGGCACCGGAACGTTGTTCGCGGCGGACATGCGCGCAAAGGCTCAAGGGCGATGGATTTCCAACGCCCTTGACTCGATGCGTCAACCGAGTGCGACGGCCGCTCGAACGCTCTTCGATCACGGCGCGACGGCGTGCACTGACGTCACCGGTTTCGGCTTGCTCGGACACCTCGTCGAGATGTGCAAGGGAAGCGGCGTCGCGGCCGTCCTGGACATGGATGCCGTCCCAATCTTACCAGGCGCTTTGGAATGCGTTGAGTTGGGGATCACGAGTTCGCTGCAGCCTGCGAACGTGCGTCTGGCTCGAGCCGTCGCGAATCCCACCGCGGTATCTGGTGCCAAACGATATCCGCTTCTGTTCGATCCACAAACCGCGGGCGGTATGCTCGCCTCCGTGCCGAGCGATCGCGCCGAAGACACTGTTGAGGCACTTAAACGCGACGGGTACGTACACACGGCCGTCATAGGAGAAGTCTTAGAGTGCCTCCCAAAGGCTGCGACCGCGCCCGAGCAAGTCGTCTTCGTCGCCGCCGCGAACGTCCCGTTCGACGGCGTCTCGAACGCTCGCCCTCAAAAAATCGTCTCGTGCGGCACCGACGCGTGCAATTTGTGATTTAATGCATTTCAATTCGTCCACGTCCACGGCGCTCTTTTGATCCACGATTTTCGCTGCGTCGCCGTCGCAGCCGACGCGCTCGCGCGCGCGCCGCACACGTCGACGCGCCTTGAGCGCGCGGTGACGCCGTCTCGACGCGATCGCGCCATGTCCGTCGACGAAGAGCGTTTATTGCTCGGAGCCGACGCCGGACCGAGCGCATCGAACGAAGAGACGGCGTCAAGAGGTCGCGAGCGACGATTTCCATCACCCAGGGTGTTAGGCGCGGCGTGCGCCGCGGCGGCGCTCGCGCTCGTCGTCGTCGTCTCCTCGCGCTCGCGCTTCGGTGAACACGCGACGACGAGCGCGATTTCATCGCTCGGTGCGTCGGGAGGGTGGTTATCGACGACGAAGAGGGATGAAGACCGACGCGTAGAATCTCGCCTGGGTGTTGAACGGCGAGACGGACCGCGCGACGTCGCGTCGTGGTTGGGCGAACCGGAACCCGTGTACGAGCTAGAGCGGGCGTACACGCGAGATGGATCGACGACGTCGTCGTGGACGCTCGTGATCGGAGACGAGAGCGAACTTTGGAAGATTCCGGTGTGCAAGCGCGGTGGCGGGTATCGGGTGGGTAACGCGGTGAAGCGCGTCGGACGCGGCTGGGTGGAGGCGCGTATCCGCGTGCTTAGCGAGCCGGAATCGTACAAGACGACGCTGTTGTACGATTTTTTGATGTCGAGGGTCGAGGGGACGAAAGCGTTCGCGGCGGCGGTGGTGGCGCGTGAACGCGAACGCGGGACGCTCTCGCGGAGCGCCATGGGCGCGGCGCTCCAGCGAAGTGTTGTGATGCCGATGCGTCTGTCGGACAAGGCAAGATTCGTGGAATCAAATGAGCGCACGATTATTGATTCTGCGCTAGATTACCGACGAGCAAAGTGCCCGCAGACGTGCGAAAAGTTCGTCATCGCTGTGTCGCTCGTATGGGGCGGGGACGAAGTCGGCCCAGGTGGGGAGTTTGCGTACGACGTTCACGAGTACAAGGAGTCGATTCGCGTCTTACAATCGATGCTTACGTACGCCAAGGAAAAGTTCCCTGCGGATTTTGAGCTCAATTTTGCGGTGACGTCGGACGCGGACGACGCGCTCACGCTCCTTGCGTATGCGCCGAATCTGATGTCCAACCCGCTCGACTCGGCGAGCACCATCATCGAGCTCGCGCAAGGCGTCAACGCCCTGATCAACACCGAGCACGGCGTCGAAAATTTATTGCAGTATCACGACGAGGTATTGGCGAAGAGACAAACGGATGCGAGCGCGATCAACGCCGAGCTTGGGTTGCTCGCTCGGATCCGCAACGTCGTCGAGCGCGCGCGCGGCGTCTTCGCCACCGACGACTCCAAGGTCTTCGTCGCGAACTGGCTCCAAGTCGCGTGCAAGAGGTTAAAGTTGAATCCCGAGGAGGTGCCGAACGAGGTTCTGACCCACAGACTCTCCCAAGACGTCCTGATTGACGCTTTGTGGAGCGAAAGAGACGTCCACAGACGAGGCGTCCGCGTCGACGGACGCGTCTCCACCGAAGCCCACCGTCCCGATAGAGTCACTCGAACGGTGCGAAGGTTCGTTTTGGATCACGATCAAGACGATCGCGACGACGCGCGTGCCGACGACGGCGCGTGATGGATGGACGCGTCGCGCGCTCCGTCGTACACAGGGTTCAATCATAGCGATAGGGTTCAATCATAGCCGAGAACGAACACCCAAAAGCGTCGCTCGCGAACACCCTTCACCCGACGAACGACCGCACGCGTCGACGGCGCCGTCGTCATGACCGCCAGGACGCGCGAGGACGAACGCGCGCGACTGCTGGACGACGTCGACGTCGAGGGCGACGGCGCGCGCGGCGTCGACGTCGAGCGAGAACACGGCGCGACGCCGGTGACGACGAGACGCATCGTCATCGCCTCGCTCGGTCTCGCGGCGTGCGCGCTCGCGGCGATCGCGAGCGGATCCATCGCGGGCGTCGATCGATCGTCCGTGCTCGCGCGAACGAGCCTCGGTGAGTACGAGTTCAAACGGAACGGACCGGAGGGACATAAGTTTTCGTGCGAGCCCGCCGTCGCGAATGAGTTCCCGAACGCGCTTCAGGGCGACGACGGGATGAACGTGTGGCGAGGAAGCGAGCATAAGATCACGCCCGGTGATTGCTCTTGGTTTAAGACGTTGAAATCGGAAGCGAGGAAACGGGCGAAGAAGTCTTCGTCGTGCGTGCCGGATAACACCCTCGCCGTGGCGTTTGTGGACGATCGCAACTACGAGCTCGCCAAGATTTCAACGATGAACGTAAACGGCACGAAATGTTTCATGGATAGATATTTGTTGATCACGGCCGACACAGAGACGCAGAAGAAGTGCGAGGAAGAGAACCGATTTAGTTGTATCATGTACCGGGACGGGCACGTGTTCGATCGGCTGCCAAAGCACGACCGTTACGTTGTGCTGACATGGATGAAGCAGAAAATGACGTTGGGCTTGCTCTCGGCTGGCGTTGACTTTTTCTTCCACGATACGGATGTGATCTTTTTCAAGGTACCGGATTTCTCAGCGATTCTTCGATCAAATCAGGAAGCAACCGTTTTCTATCAAATGGATAGATACAAATACGTCGACGCCTACAACGGAAAACCATCACAGGAAAACCATCACGGAAAACCATCACCGTCTCCTGAGGATGTATCTAACTTAAATTCAGGGCAGATGTTCTGGCGCGCTACGCCGGCGACGCTCAAAGCACAAGCTCTCAGTCTCAACATGGGCCCGGGGGGCATGGAGCAAGGCGTGCTGCACGGCGCCCTCCGAAAGATGGCGCGCAACGGTGAAATTACCGCGCAGGCTTTGGACGCAAAGAAATTTGGCACCGGCTGCGCCAATCCTGATCCGTTCGATTTTGCGCAGCCGGTGGTGGTGAAGCACCTTCCCGAGTTCGTCACGCTTCACGCCACTTGCGGCTTGGGCAAAGGTGGCGGCATGCTCCTGATGAACGCTCGCCTGAAGTGCTACCTCAAGTATCACGACGCGAAAGCGTGCGTACAGGTCAAGAGCCCGAAAGACTGGGAAAAGCTTCAAAAAGAACGCGGTGCGCCTCTCGGTCTGAGCGAGGAAGTGCGCGAGTACGAAGCCACGGCGCTCACCATGTTGAGCCTCTTGGCTCGCCACGCGTGCGCCTCCGCCGCCGAGTCTCGCGAACAACTCGAAATGTGCGCCAACAAGGTCGTGCTCCGCGCGGTGTGATTCCCATCCGCGTCAACGCTTTCTCTTAGCTCCATTCGCCTTCTATGTAACAATTCATCGCGTAGTTCCACCGCGCCGCCTCCCGTCGCCGCGCGCGCGCCGCGTCGGCCCGGGAGACCCGAATCTATCGACATGCGCCTTGATACCTTTATCACACCTACAGTACGACACGTTTAAACTCGACAGCTCGCGCGTCGTCACACCGCCACCGCCGACGCGCGCGCGGACGACGCCGACGCGCGCGATGCGGGCGACGACGACGACGACGACGACGACGACGACGCGTCGCCCGTCGACGCGCGGGTCGAGACGCGGACGAAGAGACGTGAAAAATGGCGCGACACGAATGATTGCGCTGCCGACGACGACGACGACGGGCGCGAGGCGCTGGACCCGGCGCGAGGCCCTGCTGGGAGACGAACAGGATCGTGAGCTGTGGAACGACGCGTCGGACGACGACGATGGGGCTGCGGGGACGAAGACGACGCGCGAGGGCGACGATTCGCTGTGGGAGCGCGTGGGGTCGACCGAGGCGGCGACGGCGTTCGAGAAGCGAACGACGCGAAAGACGAAGAGCGAGCGAGAGGCGGAGGAGTTATTCGCGGAATTGGAAGAAACGCTTTTTAAGGTTGATAGGGACGCGCTGCAGATACAAAAGGCTGATTTCACGGTGAACAGCGTGATCGATAAAATCAACCGAGGCAAGGTGAACCTGCGGCCGAGTTATCAGAGGGAGTACGTGTGGACGGTGCGAACGGCGAGTAAGCTGGTGGAATCATTAATCTTGAACATTCCCATCCCAACCATGTTCTTTCACGAGACCCAGGGGGGGAAGCTCGAGGTTGTGGACGGGAAGCAGCGGTTGACGTCCATCTGGAGCTTCATCCAAGGTGAGTTCCCCGATGGGTCTCCGTTCAAGCTCACAGGTCTGGAGGTGTACGAAGAGTTGAACGGGAAAACCTTCACCGATCTGCACGAGCGATTCCAGGAGACCATCCTAGATTATCCGCTGAACGTGCACACGATCTCGCGGTCGTCTCAGCCAGATTTCGTCTTCGAGGTCTTCGAGCGTCTGAACATGGGTGCGACGCAGCTCAACGAGCAGGAGTTGAGGAACTGCATCTATCAAGGGATGTACACCGATTTGCTCGAGGATTTGGTGCAGAATGAGCACTTGCTGCAGATTTATAAATCCAAGACGCCACACCTCAGAATGCGCGACCGCGAGCTCGTGTTACGCTACTTTGCCATGCTACGCACGACGCCGGAGGGATTTTTCATCCCCATCAAGACTTGGCTCAATGATGAGATGCGAGAGAACAAGGACATGACCCCGCAAGACGCGGGTGAGATGCACGAGTCGTTCACAAGGACAATCAAGCTCGCGTACAACATCTTCGGCGACTGCGCCTTCCGACCGACGTCCACCGTGGGCAAGGGGAAGCAGGTGACTGAGGAGGACGTCAGTGGATTGTTTTATCGAGAGTTCTTCACCTCGGGCGAGGTCAACGTCGCGCTTTGGGATACTCTCATGTACTCTCTCACGAAGATCAACGCCGAAGAGGCGGCGGCGAAGAAGAGCGCCATCCTCGCAGCCTGGATCAACCTGAACAACTCGTCAGAATTCGCGAAACTCACCGTGAGCAATCCACGCGCAGTTCAAACCAGAGCGCAACTCTGGCAGGAAAAACTGGATGAAATTTTGAACTAGGACGTATGCGTTTTGTCATTTCAGTTTTACAATCACTGCGACGCGACGCGCAGAGAATCACGCACAGCACGTCTTGGCGCGGCGCCGCGAACCGGAGTCGTCTCATCGCCACGTGCGATGGGCTCACCACGAACGAATCGCTGAATCATCGTGAGGGCGTTTAGCGGCTGGTCCATCGGTACCATGTGACCAGCCTGCGAAACTTTGACGAAACTGAGCTTGCCAGATTCCGTCACCGTTCCACCAATGATTTCATCGTCGCCGGAAGTGGACACGACGAATGGGCGCGGGTGCTCGGCGGTGAAAGCGGCGCGTCCGCTCCATTTCATCGCTTTCACCCATCGCTCGTTACCGAGGGCATTACAGATGAAGTCTTGATCGCCCGCGTAAATCATGAAACGAATCCCAGCCTCGAGCAAGGGCGGAATCATGTCCTCGTACTCGTGCATCCAGTCTCCCATCATATCGGAGTGCACGCGATTGTCGCACATTTCCCATTTTTTGTTCACCCCAAGCGCCTTTTGAACGTCAGCTCGATTCAACCACTCTTCTGCGGCGCTGAAATCATAGCACAACTCGGCGTCGCACGATTTTCTAATATCGTACACGTTGATCGCTTTCCCATCGAATCGTGATGCGGCGTTTTCCAGTAGCGTCTCTGGAATGATCTGACATGCGTTCAAGGCTCGGATACACGTCGCGCGGTTCGACTTTTCGCCCGCATCGCCGCGATAACACGCCTTGATTGCCTTCCGGCACGCCGGATACGCCTTCATTGCCTCGGCTGCGGCTTTAGCGTCGACGATATCGTTTCCGAGCGAGTAATCGGCGTAGGCACCGTACTGAATCGCTGGCTCCGTGAGTCCGTTACCGATAGCGACGCCGCGCAGATTGAAACGCACCGGATTGTCGCCCTTTTTGTTTGCCTCAAAAATCCTGTGCGCGAACGCCGGAACGTAGTGCCCCGCGTACGACTCCCCAGTCACGTACACCTCCACGTCCGCCAACTCCGGTCTCGACAGCATGAACGCCGACAGGAACTCCAACAAATCGTTCGCCACCGTCGTCTCGTCTCGCGCAGCGTCCGCCCGCTTACTCGTGTACGAGAAACCGGTGCCCACTGGAGAGTCCACATATAGCAGTCGCCCCGCGTCGTTCCACGCGTGCGCCCTTCGTCCTAATCTCGCCTCACCGCTCTTCGGATCTCGTTCCATCGCGTACGGCCCGTTCTCGTACAGCGACGCGAGCTCGCTCGCGCACCCGGGACCTCCCGTGAGCCAAATTATCAGAGGCGACTCATCATCTGAATCATTCATCGATGCTCGCCCGTCTCCGGACCCACGACGGTCGAAAAAGGTGTAAAACAAGTGCGCATCCCTCGTACTGTTCAACTTAAACGTCCCGCTCGACGCACCGTAGATTAAAGCGTCGTCGCGCGCGTCTTCGGTGATGTGTTTCAGATTTGAGAAATCAATCTCACGACGCGTTAACCGCTCGAGCAACGCGTCCTCGATCGCGACGCTCTTCGCATCGATCGAGGACGTCGTGAGGTGACTCAAAAGCGCGAGCCCGCGCGCGGTGAGCGATCGAAAACGTCCCATGCGCGTCGCTCTGTGAAGCGAACGCGCAGAAAATAGAATCCACGACGTTCCGCCGCAGTCCGCGACGCTCGACGTGCGCGTCGACGGACGCGTCGTCGACGTCGTCGACGCGATGGCGCGCGATATCGACGCCCCGGCGACGTGCGTGGTCGTGTTCCTGTGCTTCTTGGCGCTCTTCACGGATAAAGTGAGCAGCGACTGGGCGATGATGCTGAGCGTGGCGACGCTGAACGCGATCGGGACGCTCACCGTGGAGGAATCCCTGGAGGGGTTCGCGAACACCGGTTTGTTGACCGTGGGCGCTCTGTTCGTCGTCGCGTGCGGGATATCGAGCACCGGAGGGTTGGACTGGTACATGGCGAAGGTTTTGGGAAAGCCGCGGACGCCAGCCGGGGCGCAACTGCGATTGATGATTCCGATCGCGTGCGTGAGTGCTTTTTTGAATAACACGCCGGTGGTAGCGGTGATGATACCGATCGTCACGCGATGGGCCGAGGCCACGGGGTTGGCGGTGGAGCAGTTGATGATGCCGTTGTCGTTCGCCTCGCTATTGGGCGGCACGTGCACGCTGATTGGGACTTCGACAAATTTGGTGGTGCAAGGGATGGTAAAGACGTACGTGAGGGAGACTCCGGGCCAGGCGGAGGTGACGATTGGGTTATTCGATCTGGGAAAGTACGGGGTGGCGGTGGCGCTGGCGGGGATTTCGTACGTGTTGCTCGTGTCGCCCTTTTTGTTACCCAAAGGCGCGCGAAGGATCGGGGCGTCTCCGAACGAGCGTAGGGCGGAAGATGAGGAGGATTTGCTCGTCGGTGCGCGCGTCGAGGGATGGTCACCGGCGGTCGGACGCACCGTCGCGGCGAGCGGCTTAAGAGGGTTGCCGGGTTTGTACTTGGTGAGCGTGCGAAGAGACGAGGCTCTGCTTCGAGCTGTCGGTCCAGAGTTCATCTTAAACCAGGGCGACATCTTGTACTTTACGGGGATGATTGAGTCTTTAGGGAACGTTTGTGCCGAGTACGGTTTGATGGCGATCACGCAAGAGTACGAGGAAGATGAGATCGAGAGCGGCACGGTGGCGGAAGTGCGAGACAGAGCCGGGAGCAAAATCCACGACGGCGTCGTCTCGATGGAAGAGTCAAGCAGCATAGCAGATTTACAAAAGCTCGCGCGCACGCACGCGATTTACAAAGAGCAAGAAGCGGCCATTTATGATTTGAGAAGGCGTCGACACAAGCGTCGACCGAGATCGTCTCAAGGGGAGTCGAGCGACGCCGGCGGCATGCTCAGTCCGGGTTACTACTCCTCGGATGGGAACCAGTACACGTCCGGCGGGGCGAGCGATTCGGACGACGCCGTGCGAAGATCGAGTGGCAAAGCACAAGCGTTGAAACGGTACTCAGAGAAATTGGAGAGCGCACTGCGAGACGCAAACGGCGCCGACGCGCAGATCAGCGCGAAGGAGAGCGAAACCGCGCTCGGACCGCCATTAGTCACGGTCGACGTCGATCCCGACGCCCATCAGGACGATCCTGAACATGTCGGACGCATGGTTCTTGGTATCAGCGCGAATGATCGACCGGGCCTATTGCACGACATCTCTCAGGCGTTGAATCGTCTTCAAGTGCAGTTATTGCACTGCGAAGCCTCGGCGGTGGGATCTCGCTCGGTTTCCATTTGGCGATTGCAAGTGTTACAGAACACGACGACCAAAGAAGAGATCACGACAGTGATCAAGACAATGCTTGAACCGGTGACGGGCATCGAAGCGGTGAAAAAGCGCGGGCAATCGGTTGTGAGATGCAGTGTGAAACCGTCGTCATCGCTCGTGGGAAAGACTCCTGCCGAGGCAGATCTGCGCGCGACGTTCGGTGGAGCCATCATTGCCGTTCAACGAGGTGGTCGTGCGCCTGCAGGGAAGCTCAGTGCCGTCGTGTTCCAAGCCGGTGACACGCTCGTGCTCCAAGCTCAAGAGGGTTCACCTCTCATCAAGCTCCTGGAGCGTTCCGAAGGCGCCGTCGTGCAGGAGGATGAGCGCTTTCACAAAGCGCAAGCGGATTTTGAGATAATTGGACACGGCGTGGGGATGTCGAACACGGGGAAAGAGTTCCTCATCGCTGTTCGTATTGAATCTACCGCAAGAAATTTTATAGGAAAGACCGCGGTGGAGAGCGGATTGCGATCACTTCCCGGGTTGTTTCTCGTCTCCATCGAGCGGGCGAGGTCAACTCTCAGCGAGTCTCCAGCGGATAGGACAACCGTCATCGATCCGAGCGAGCCTTTAGAGGCGAATGATGTCATGTGGTACGCCGGTGGTGCGAGCGCGATCGCTAGTCTTCGCCGCGTTCCCGGTTTGGCTCCGTATTCGAGCGATCAGGTGGACAAGCTTGAGGTGTCGAGTCACGACAGGCGCTTGATTCAAGCCGTGGTTGGGAAGGCTGGTGACTTGGTCGGTAAATCGATTCGAGACATCAAATTTCGCACGCGTTTCAATGCTGTGGTGATCGCGGTCCATCGCGAAGGCGCGCGCGTGCACTCAAGAATCGGAGATGTCGTCTTACATCCTGGAGACGTGCTCCTGCTCGATGCCGGCTCGGACTTTCGATCGAGCGCTCGCGCTCAGGGCGCCTTCGCCCTCATCAGCGTCCTGGACGACTCCACGCCTCCCCGGTTACGATTACTCATACCTGCGCTCATGTGTGCGCTGGCTATGATCGCATTGTACACGTTCAAAGTGATCGAACTCTTCACCGCCGCGGTGCTCGCTGCGGCGGTGATGATTGCATCCGGCACGCTCACGCAACAAGAGGCTCGCAACGCCATCAAGTGGGACGTCATCGTCACCATCGCCGGCGCTTTTGGACTCTCCAAGGCGATGCAAAAGAGTGGCGTCGCCGAATTCGTGGCCAAGCAGCTCGTCTCTCTTGCAAAGATCACGGGCTCGGGACAGATCGGCTTGCTCTCGGCGGTGTACCTCTCCACGTTCTTGATCTCAAACATTGTCACGAACAACGCGGCGGCGGCGCTGATGTTGCCGATCGCCGCTCAAGCCGCGGCCGCGCAAAATATCCCTCTCGAGAAGATGGCTTTCCTACTCATGCTCGCCGCGAGCGCGTCCTTCATGTCTCCGTTCGGGTACCAGACCAATCTCATGGTCTACGGCCCGGGCGGATACACGTTTGCCGACTTCATCAAGTTTGGCTTGCCGATGCAACTCGTGCTCTTGGTGGTCACGATCGTCGTCTTAGGGGTGAGTGAGGACACCATCTGGATCCCATACGTCGTCATCGTCGTCATGTTCCTCGTCGTCGCCGTGGCGACGACAGTCGGCTTGGCGCCCGCGGTGCGCCGCGCGCGAGCGGCGTTCACCCGCCTCGCGTCGCGAAAGAACGCGCGTCACGCCCGTCGCTCGAGCGAAGAAACACTCGATCCTGAACTCGCTCTCGCGGACGCTTGAACCGCGAACGGTATCGACATGATACGTACGATTACTTGACGCCACTCGGTGAGAAAACCTCGACCGTAGCCGACTCGCAGTCGCCGTAGATGAATGATGATTCTTTCAATTCTTTCCAACGTCTCCTTCGACTCCATCGCGAACGTCCAAGCGCATCGATCGCGGTGTTTACTTACATTCTTTCGTGGATTACAGTTCGTTATACAGAACAACGAGTACAAAATCGGTATCAATCATTCGCCGCCGTCTCTACGGCCTCGCCGTCGCGCGCGTCGTCACGTCCCGCGCGTTCGCGCTCACCACCGTCTCTCTCGACGCGCCGTACACCCACGCCAACGGCGACGTCCCCGTCTTCGTCGTGTACACGAATCCAAACACGAACCCCATCCCCAGCGCCGCCCGGGCCAAGGTTTCGTGATGCCGCAGCAGCATCGCCTCCGCCCGCGCCGCCATGATCGTTCGCCCCCCACCACCGGCCCACCCGCCGCCCGTCGACGCGCGCGATCGACCACACGCGCGCGCACCACGCCCGTCGTCCACGCCTCGTCTCACGCGCGCGCGTATCCGCGTCCGCCCACCCCTCGATGCGCGTATCCACGTATCCGCGTCAGCACGCGAATCACCCCACGCGCGCCGTCGTCGACCTCGTCGCGGTCGCGTCCGCGCGCGCGACGCCGGGCGTGGGCGTCGACGCCGATGCGCGTCGACGTCGATCCGCGTCAGCGTCGGACCACGCGCGCGTCGGCACCGAGGCCGCGCGCGCGCGTGATTGATTACGTGCGCGCGGTAAAAAGTGTGGGACGACCACGCCGTGTGTGCAATCGCGGGCGCACTTTTTTCACGTCGAGGATCGAGAGGGTTTGGATTTCTTGAGTCATGATTCGTCACGTTACCCCCTCCCCAAACGTCTGCGGGCGTTCGCGACATCCAGAGAATCGACCCGAGCGCGTCGTGCGCGCGTCCTCGTGGGTCGACGAAACCCTCGATGTGCCCGTTTTGATCGATCGGCGGCTGTCCTTGACCCAATCTTTGACCTTCGAACTCCGCCCGGTGCTGAACGCTCGCGCGCCTAAACCTTTCTCCATATGTAGAGCCCTTTGAAGATAGGAAAGCGCCGAGCCTTTCCATCACGTTTTCTCGCACGTCGAGGATCGATCGACGGGGCGCGATCGACGCGGTGGGGTGGAGAAACGAAACCCCATACTCGGACGCACGCGCGTGTTCGTGCGCGAACACCCACGACCTCGCGCGCGCGCGCGTCGATCGCGCCGGACGCGGACGCGCGCGCGGGCGAGGACGATGGCGACGTCGACGACGACGGCGGAGCGCGCGGCGTTGCTCGGCGACGTCGCGCGCGGTGCGATCGCGCGGGCGAGGGTGAAGGATGACGCGAACGCGGAGGCGCAACACCATGGATGGACGACGACGCTCGAGCGAGACGGACGGGGTGGGACCGGGTGGACGCGCGCGCGCGCGATGACGACGACGGTGTTGTTCGCGATCGCGGCGATCGCGGGCGTGGCGGCGATGCGAGCGGAGGATGGGCGCGGATGGTCGGCGCGGTCGGCGTTGGGCAAAGGCGCGCGGGGGAAATCGTCTCGCGGCGCCGCGTACGAGGGCATGGGGGTCGATCTGAGCGAGAGTGAGGAGGCAAAGTTGAAGACGTGGATGTTGAAGAAGAGCTCGGGCGAGGCGGCGCTCGGGTCGGTGTTTCGCGCGGGCGCGCTGAGGGAGGAGGGGGCGTGGAATCCGCTTTTACACGGCGACGTCGAACGCGCGGGGGCGCGGGACGATCTCACGGTGGGCGTCCCGACGCTCGAGAGGAAGAATCATCGCGATGAGGGCGTGTTGGGAGACATGCCGGCAATCTTCGAAGCCGCCGCGGACGCGGGTGCGGAGACGGGTGACGTCGCGAGCGTCGGCGTCGGCGCAGCCTCGAGCGGGACGTCGTGCGACATGAACAAGTGCGGGGATAACTTTCAGATGCACGATCCGAGCTGCGCCCAGGGCGGTCTCGGATGCGTTGGTACCTCGGGGTGTCGGTTTTGCCGCGTCATCGGCAGAGAGAAGGAAGCCCTGACGGGGACGGACACCAAGAACCTGCCCGTGTGTAATAGCTGCGTGTGCGAAGCGCGTAAATTCAGCTCTGGGTGCGCGGGCATGGCCCAGAAGCACGAGATTCCGGATGAACCGAAACCGGTGGTGCCGAAACCGTTTACGCCAACGCCAGAGGGACCGGCGACACCGACGCCGAAACCGACGGAACCAGCGACACCGACGCAACCGGTGACGCAACCGGCGACGCCGACGCAACCGGCGACGCCGACGCAACCGGCGACGCGACCGCTGTCACCCGTACCGCCCGTGGTGATCCCGAAGAATCCGACGCCTATTGATAACCCAACACCGGCGCAGCCGATTCCGATCGCGGCGGCGAAGTCGAGCTCCGCGATGCTCGGCTTGGGTTGCAAATGGGACTTGTGCAGACCAGACCAAATGTACGACCCGCGATGCGTCAAGGGCGGAGGTTACGGTTGCGTCGGTTCGACTGGGTGTCGATTCTGCAAGAACGATCGCAACAGCGCAGATCACACGCTCGGATTTGATAAGAATTGGGAGACGTGTGCGCAGTGTGTGTGCGACAAGCACGGCATCACCGGTTGCAGTGGCGGAACCTCAACCCCGACGCCGTCCATGCCGACGCCGGCGCCGACGCCGACGCCGACGCCGGTGACTCCGACTGAAAAATCTGAGCCCACGGCCGAAAATCACGCTAATAGCGTGCCGTGGTCCGGGGTTGCGCAAAAACCGCAGCCAGAGCCGGAGCAGATGCCGACGCAGGCCGAACAAACGCCGACGCAGCCAGAGCCGGAGCAACTGCCGACGCAGCCGCAGCCAGAGCCGGAGCAACTGCTGACGCAGCCAGAACAAACGCCGATGCAGCCGGAGCCGGAGCAAACGCCGATGCAGCCAGAACAAACGCCGATGCAGCCGGAGCCGGAGCAAACGCCGGCGCCCGTGGATGACGGCGTGAACGATCACCCCGAGAGGTTCGCCGCCGCCGGAATGGGTGCCATGCAAGAGTCCGGGCCGGTTCAGCCGCTCCCTGTGCCGCATCGAATCACGCGTGAAGGGATCGAATGGGTGGAAACAAAGTTTGGTACTTTACAATCGTGTACCGACGCGTGCCAGGAGATTTCCAAGACGTGCGCCGACCACGTGTGGCCCGGTGACATGAACGCGTTCCGCGACGTTCTCTCTCGAGCCTCCCTTCCGAACGATGAGAATGTTGTGACGTGCAACGAGATTTTGCTCTCGGACGAGACAGATCACTGCGGAGCGATGTCCAGGCTCTCGGGTCGTTGTTTCTTGTCGCCGGCGCGCGGTCACTTGCCCGCCTCGTGCGGCGCCGCGCAAAAGCACAGCGACTGCTCGAGCATTTGCCCGTGTCACTGAGCGCTTCATTAGATCACCTGTAAATAATCAATCGAAAAGGTCAAATTATCTAACGAAACGTAGGAAATGTTCAAAGTTACAAGACGAGCAAAACGCGTGCGCGCCCCCGTGCGCGCGAGCGGCGCCGCGCGAGACGTCTAGTAAGATTCCTCCTCGGTCAAAGAGAGGTAGTACGTGAGGGAGTTAACGACGAGTTGTTCCATCGCCGGCGAGAGCGGACCACCGCGATGGGTGATGTAAATGATGTCCTTCGCCTTGTTGCCGATGGTGTCCACCTCGGCGCTCACGACGCACAGGCTCAAATCCTTGAGCGTGCGCACGACGTCAACCAAGAGACCCGGACGATCGGTCGTTTCAATGTCGAGCTTGGTGTGGTATTTCTCAGCCGTGCACTTGATCCCGGTTTCCACCGTGGACCGAACCTTACCGAGCGGAGAGTCGTTCGCGCCCGCGCGCGTCGGCGCCTTGGCTTGGATAAACTCGGCGGATTCCGGGTGGAAGGCTAACATGTTCGTCAGCACCGTCTGGCGAATCTCCTCCAGACGTTCACTCTTCGTCACCTTTTCTCCGGTGTCACGATCGAGGACGTAAAACCGAGACGTCTTCTCGTCCCCGCCCATCGTGACCTCGCCGCGGTTGATGTCCAACCCGAGATTCTTCAACGCCGCGATCGTATCCACGAGCTCGCCGAGGTACGTCCCGAACGTCACCTCGAGCACGGTCGCGAACGCATCGCTCTTATTATCGATGATCACCTTCGGCACCGGTCGCGCCGTATCCGTCGTCGCGCGCGTCACCCCTCGCCCGCGTCTCGCGCGTCTCGCCCCCGTCGCCGTTTCGCGTCTGCGTCGTCCCACGAATCGCCCTCGTCAGTCATCCAATCCCGCGTCCGAGTCATGCGCCCAAGTCCTCGATCGTCCACGTCATCCCTCGACGTCCGCGGCGCCGTCGATCGCCCTCGCTCGCCCTCGACCGCGCGCGAGGCGAATCGCCCCTCCGCGCGCGTGCCCACCCATCCACCCCTCGTCCCGTTCGTTCGTTCGTCCTCCCCCGCGTCCGTGGTCGACGTCCTCGCGCGCGCACCGCACGCTCGAGATCGCGCGCGCGGTCATCCCGCGCGACATCACGCTCGGCGACGACGGTCGCGGGCGTCGCGCGGTGTCGATCGACGCGACGACGCGACGACGCGCGAACGGACGCCTCGAGAGGTCGTCGCGTCGATCGATCGATTCCTCGCTCGCTCGCTCGGTGCGTCGCGTGTTCGCTCGGTCGATTCATCGATCGAGGTCTCGATCGACCGAGCGAATATTCGCTCGGTCGATTCGTCGGTGCGTCGATCGGTCGATTCGTCGATCGAGGTGCGTCGATCGATTCGTCGATCGAGGTGCGTCGATCGATTCGTCGATCGAGGTGCGTCGGTCGATTCGTCGATCGAGGTGTGTCATTGTGTCGATCGAGGTGTGTCGGTCGATGTATCGATCGAGGTGTGTCGATCGAGGTGTGTCGATCGAGGTGTGTCATTGTGTCGATCGCGGTGTGTCGATCGATGTATCGATCGAGGTGTGTCCGGCC